AGTCTTTAAATTTTTAAAAATAATTAATTAAATTTGTAAATTTTGAAAATTTATAATTTAATCCCTCTTTAAATTAAAAAAAAAAATAGTTTTGGTTATGAATATTAGGTAAATAAGAATTAAAATGATTATATTTTATAATATATGAATTAATAACTGAAGGTTTGAAGCTTATTATAATTAAAATTTGAAGCATTGACAAAATTACCATAGTGCTATAAAAAGACAATAATATCCACGTGGGTTCCACGTGGTCGGCTGAGAAAGTTGGCGGCTTCCGGAGATCTAATATTTAATTATTTACGTTTACTAAATTATATTTGAATTATTTACGTTTTATTAAATATAATTATTTATTTTAAAAAAATAACGGTTAAAAGCATTGTTCTAGAAGGGCATTGTATTTGGGAGCAGCCCACTTGAGGGAGCCGAGTTGCGTAGAAGCCTTTAATTAAATGGGCCCTCCCTTGTACTAAAAGTGAATGAATTTGACCATTTTCTTTCCCATAATGGGACCCTTTCATGTTTGATAATCTTCCCTCCTCATCTATTTCAACTTTCCTCCATGTAATTGCTTCTGGAAGCCATTGCTTTTGTTCGGACGTCTCTTTAGATTAGCTCGTTTCGGTCTCGAAAAGTGTAGAGAAGAGGATTAGGACAACTAATAGTGTTTTGCGTCGAGGGTTGACCTGTTCTTGAGAAGGATGGTGCACCTTGGCCTCGACCTATCTAGCCGAGGTCGAGGAGGATAGTTGAGCTAGGCATAATTGCCTCCTTCTCCCGCTCGTTTGGGTCTCGACAAGTATAGAGATGAGGATTAGGACAACCAATAGTATTTTGGGTCGAGGGTTGACCTGTTCTTGAGAAGGATGGTGCACCTTGGCCTCAACCTCCTTAGTCGAGGTCGAGGAGGATAGTTGAGCTAGGCATAATTGCCTTCTTCTCTGGGACCTGGTCAACTTAAAGGTAAAAAATTCTTTAATTTCTCTCTCGATTCAAAATGGCCTCTATAAGATAATTCGAACCTCTGCGGGAAGAGATCAATTGATTTCAAACTTGTCACTTTAGCCACTCTATCACATCAACATTTGTTGAAAAGTATTATTTTTAATATGTAAGGGTCACATGTATTTGACTTATTCTTGTGTGAAGATTAGAGGGGATCGAGAATAAATCCCGACAACAAACGTTTTTTGTTGGGAGACTATAAATATTCACAATATGTTATGTAAAAATCAGATTGGTGAATGAATGAAATTGAGATCTCGAATTGAGACGTTTTCCTTAGAAATACGAGAATCAATTTTGTCATTTCTAAGTTTCGGTAGAATTGCATCCGAGCCCAGCCTTGATCAAGTTAGATTGAGGAGTGACTCAATTTAGAACAAGGTTCCAAATCTTGCTTCTAGATCTTCAATCAGGTAATTTAATTCTAGCCTTATCTCTTAGTTGATCCAAATTTCGTATAAGGAGATGTTAATTACTGATTCAAGGGTTATTGCTAAAACAAAAGCTTGGATCGTTGGGCTGAAGATTAGGGTTGCCTTGTTAGCCTCGACCCCTTTTGTACGAACCCATTGATTCTCATCTTAGACTCAATTTTCAAGGATCCTTAGTCCATCGATAGGCAACTGGGCCTCGACCTCTCCTTTCATGTGTGAGTTTGTTAAACGATTATGCGATACTCATTCTCAACATTGAGTGAGTCAACCACTCTAAACTCGAGTTGTTGTTGGCCAAACGACGTATACCCAAACTTTTGGATTTGGTTTTAGAATTATAAATCAGGGTAAAGAGATTTTGAAAGGAGAGTTTGAAAGGAACCGTTGAAAATAATATTACAAACTAACAAGCAAGAAAGACAACACAGAAATGAAGAATTGACGACTAGTTGTATCCCACTAATACATTTTGATGCATTTCATGTTTGCTAGACACATACATGATTTTTCCAAAACGTCTGTATTTTTTAAAAAATACAATAATAAAATAATACATCATGAAAGCAGTAAATGAAAGCGATCGAATAGTACAAAATGAAGGATTCGATATGCAACGAGCATGCGGCCGAAGGATTCGATATGCAACGAGCATGGGCCAGGGCGACTAACTAGAATTTTTCCTACTCATTGTATTACTTCTAATTTTGGGGTAAGTTTGAATTATATATAAAATAAAATAAATTAAAAATTAAAAATTAAAAAAAAAAAAAAAAATCAACTAGCGGTAGAAGCGCTTCAACATATATATAGCGTCTGTTCAACTCCTCAACGAGTAACCGAAAAATTGAAGGACGAATCGAAGTTTTACGAATGGCAGAAACGAGAGGAAATTTGTAAGTATATTCTTCTTGTCCATTCGTTCATTCTCCTTTGCCTTTTCTGCTACTCGATTTCGGAATCGGAATAGTATCGTTAATCTACAGAGTATTTGTAATTGTAAATTATGTTCATTTTGCCTTCAGATTCATTCTGCCCTAATTTTTCTACCATCAGTTTGATACACATTGTTTTCGTTAGTTGCTGCCTGAGTTGAGTTTATTCTGAAGCTTGAGTAGTTGGCCTGTAATTTCTCAGGCAATATGGATGTTGATGAGTCATATCTTGATCTCCTAGCTCTGAGGGAATTATACATCCTACTCTTGAAGAGTTGTTTGCGCGATGCACCTTCAGAACTTGTAAGCCTCCCTGGATTAGTCATCTCGTTCTTATTCTCGTTGCATTTATAGTTTTTCGAATTCTACGTCATTTTAAGCTAGTTTTCACTTTAAACGACTTGATGAAAATCTGCTTCATTCAAATTTCAATCCAGAAGTGTTTTTTTTTGTCGATATAATTTAATAATCTTCATTCCAATTCCATAAATGCAATCGTAAGAACCAGACTTGTTCAACCATTATACTCATAGTCAGATCTTATCAAGCATGAAACTATCTTACCGAACTTGCAGATCAGTAGATTTCGGCTACCTTGTGATTTCTATATGGATTTAGCATGATAGAGATTGTGAGATAAGGCTGTTTGAGTGAGTTTTCTACTTGAACATTTGAGTGTTTTAGTTTGGCTTTTATTGTCAAAGCAGCTGGATGAAAGGGCACAGATTTTATTGAAGAATTTGCTCGATGATGCTACTGCTGAAGTTCTTGAGTTTCTCCCAAAGGTTTATATTTCATTCTGCTTAGAAAAAGAAAAACAATTGGACGCAGATCAATGTCAAGAAAAATAGTTCAAGTTCTAATTTCATGAAGCTGTCTAGTAACATGTATTCCCTTTTGAGTTTGTGCAGAACATGGCAACAGACTCCGGCATTTTTTACAAATTTCTACACAAAGATGATAAACAGTCTAAGCCACTGGACGAAAAAGTTGTTGAATGGATGAAACCCATCCCAAAGAGGGCCAGAGGTTCAGCTTCAAATGCTACGACTGACTTAATATTACAGGGCATCAGTTCAGCAATCAGAAGAATTGAACACCACATTCTATCACTGCAACGATATACAAGTCAAAGTAAAAGAAGCCATATCAGTTACTGCGGGCGGTCTGTTCTTAAAGGGAATGAGACATCAAACCGCCAGAAAGTACAGTCAAGGACAGATCACTCAACTATTAGCGCCAGACAGATAAAAGGTCTTCTTGTTGGTGGACAGAATGCTAAGGCGGTAGTGACACCCCATTGCTCTGAGTTCGTTCATGGATTCAGATTGCCTCTGAGTCAAGGCAGTAAGGAGGGCAGGAAACCTCTTGCCGTTGAAACTCACCTATCTAAGCAGCACAAACTTGTAAATCCAATGACTCTGATAGATAAATGTGGAGGTTCGGTAGGATCCAAGGCAACAATCAGGCCCAGAAAAAAGCCGAGTCAAAGCCGTGTAAAGAAGAGCCAAAATTCATATGGTCTTATGGTAATGAAGCCAACTTTGCTGGACCATCCCTCCAGAGAAGTAAGGAAGGAGGAAACCCAAAAGAAGACCCATTTGGCCACTCAGCATGAATCAGAATTCACAGATTCAGCTTGTTCTTCAAGTTGGACAACTCAACAGACCAGTGAAAGTGGAACCCTTGATGACTTCTCTTCCCCAAGCCACCAAGATGAACGGCCAGCAAATAGTTCAGAGACAAGTAGTATCAGATACAGCCAGGGGAAAAAAGAGTCCAAGAGAGCAATAGGACGGTTTAAGAGACTCAAAAACAAACTAGGCATTATCTTCCACCACCACCACCATCACCACCACCATAACAGCCATAGCTTCATGTGGAATCGGGTAAGAAAAATCTTCCATCCCACAAATAACAAAAAACTAACAAGTATGGAAGATAGATATGAGAAGGGAAAGAATACAGCAATCAGAAGCGAGTGTCGCACGAATCAAGTTGGGAAGTTTCAGGCGATTGCTAAAGAGCTTCGAAGCCATGTACGGAGATCGAAAGCATTAACAAAAAAAGATCCATGGGAGATGAAATGTGGGAAGAAGGGTGTAAAGAAATTGCATTGGTGGAAGCTGTTTCGTGATCGACATGGAGTGAGGTTACACAATAAAGGGCGTATTAGAAGAATAAGGTACGTCAATAAAAAACCTCAGCTATAACTGGTTTACGGTTATTGATTATACTCCAATTTATTAAATCAAAATTTCTCATGATATATAACGTTGGGAAATCAACGTTCCCAACCTTTCAACTTCTAAATTTCTTAGTACTAATTTGAAATTGTTTTCTTGTTTGAAATTGATTTTACTGCACAAAATTTAATTTACAATTAATTGTAATGGTCAAATTTCTTACCTTTTCTTGATTAATTCTCTTTTCCAATTGACCATTATTATTCATTGCTTCATTATAAACTCTTATTGCATGTTCTCTGCTATATTAATTTTGTTCTTATATTTATTTTATTCGACATTTTGGGTATCCAATTGATTACTGAGCTCCATGCCTGATAAACTCCATCCAAAATCCTCTACCGTAGACCCACGGGATCATCCCTATCACCTCATCAATTAAGGAAATATAATCGACCCCAATTTCATCAGCAAATTTCAATACATTCTATCCAAGACATAGATAGTTCAGACTGTACACTTACCAAAAAGACGTGATCTTGTAGCTTTCTTTTATAAAGCTTCAAAAACCCAGATGGATATATGTTTCAATCATCATCAGAAAGGAAATTTTGTTCTCATCCACAGCATGGCTTTACTGTGTAGGAAGGTGTCCTAAGATTATTCCTCATTTCATCACTTGACGAACATTAAAAACTTGAAATTATCATAAAAATAAACAATTCAAACAAACAAACAAAAAAAAAAAAAGGAGAACAAAGCTCGATCTAACCCCAACGAAAACAGACTTGAAATTACAATTTGGAAAAGTTTGAAAAAATTGGAAAAGAGATTGGCATACTCAGAAGGCAATGGAGATTATTAGGTTCGATTCTGCCAGCAGATTCTCCTCAATGGATATCAGAAGAGGGAGCTTCTTTATCCTCATTGTAACCTTCCCTTTCCCAAAAGAAACACAACAACAAACAAAACCAGCCTGATTTCTTTCAAACAGAGAATGAAAACACAAAAACAGAGGAGATGGCTCAGTTTCGAAAGTAATCGACACGCAAGTTTCAAAAAGAAACCTGCATTCCGGTCTGTTGAGCTTGATCTTTTAGGAAATCATCAAAGCCACCATTCACACATATAATCAGAAAACAGTGAAATTCATCCATTGCTGGATCTCAATAAACTCAGAAAACCTAAAACTGTTCATCAAGCATCACAGAATACCATAAACAAGTCGATCTATCAAGAACACAAACAATTCCGAACAGAGATGGAGAATCCAGAATTTTCAAACGGAGCTAAGAAGCAACAGAATCGAAGAATCTAAGCCTGAAAACTGTGGCCGCCGCTGAAATCAAAAGAATGGTGACTGAAGCGATGATAAGAGATTGGTTGTGCTTGGTGGGTTTAAATAGGGGGGAAGAGGTAACTGAGTACTGGAATTAGGGTTTCTGTTTCCGCCGCTAGGCTTTCGGCTGGGCTCGTCCTTGAAGAAGCCCAATGCCCCCAATCTAATTAGGCTTCCAAGTTCGGCCCAAATAAATAAAAACTTAATTATAATATCAAAACATAACATTTAACAAAAATTATCCAATATAAATCATATAATATAAAACAAATAAAAACTCAAATATTATATAAAGGCCAAGGAGATGACATAGCACGCAAAGACAATCCCAAGTGCCTCTTTTCCACCGATCACGAGCCGAGTCGAGCCGCTCGGAACGCCATCGTTGTCGGTTTTGGAAGAGGGCCGAGGGAGGCCGTCAGATTGCGGCGGTGGCTGAGGAGCAGCGGCCGGGGAGAATGATTGGTTGTTCTCGACATTGACTTGCATCTTCATTCCGCCGAGACAAAGCAACCTGTTGCCGGAAACGAAGAATCTTTGTCCGGGCTGCGACAGCGTGACGGTAGTGTTTCCGTTTGTGTAGGCTTTTAGAACGTTGGTGGTGTTGCAGGTATTGTAATTCTCTCTCGTCACTTCGTTTAAGCTTTGCGACGACGAGTATTGAAACACTGTATATAGAGAGAGAGAATTAGAATACGGTTAGATGAACACAACTCTCACAATGGTATGGTATGGTATTGTCCACTTTGAGCATAAGCTCTCCCGACTTTAATTTGGACTTCCCAAAATGCCTCGTGTCAATGGAGAGAGTATTCTTTAATTATAAACTAATGATCATTTTCTAAATTAGTTGACGTGGGACTTTCATCCTCCAACAAAAATTACATAGAGAAAATACAGTAAACTCAACCGTGCATAAAATGAAGGTAAATGAACACGTACCAAGAACATCTCCCACATAGAACCTCTTGCCCTGAGACCAAGAGTCGAGATCGGTGCTGATATCCCAACCAGAAGTGTCTCCGACAATGTATGTCGCGGCATTGCAGCTCAATGCAAGCCCTCCAATGATCATCAACGCATAGACCCGAATGTTCTTTGCCATAGCCATAGCCATCGCTGTTAGAAATACCCACTTTCTAATTTATACTTAAACGAAGCTTTCATTTCCTCTCTTTTTAGCTTACCTAACTCCGCCAACTTCCATTTCTTCCCCCTTGTATAAAGCCCAAGCAGCTAAACCTCCAACTCCAACCCCAACCAATTGTCTACCTCCTTTGACTTTTCGGATCTTCTTTTGTATCCCGTTGCTCTGTCGTTAGATATACAATAGACTCTTTAATGGTACAATAGACTCCGTTAACTTTGAGGGTTCGTGATTTGATCCATGTTGAAGCCGAAAATGGGACGATTTAGCTGGCAAAAGTTACTCGAATAGGCTCATGAAAGTTTAGTAGGTTGCCTTGGTGAGCAAGTAGGTACCTAACGTTTGGTCAAAATATTGCTCATGGGTATGACTTTAGGCTCCCCAGTAAAAATAACCGATATTTTTTGTCCATGTCAATATTGAGTACGACTCATGAAAAAAAAAGGCATGCGAATATTTTCTCGCGTGAAAATTACTTTTATCGACTATATTCAATAAAAATTCATTACAAAATGTCGATAAGAATTAAATTATAATTATTGAACGTGCTGATATGTTAGTATTAGTATCTCAGTCGAAACACAAATACACTCCTCGAGATGTGAATGAGGCCTTCGAGAGTTGGCCCGCTCAACTCCATTTACTTTCATAACCTCGATTTCTTTTTTATGAAACCTACGTCTCACGAAAATTTGGATTAGTTTTGTTTTTATAATATTGAAACAATATCCCATTAAATCTTAATTGAAAAATAAAATTTCATTAATACGACGTCGTAAGAAGCAATTAATTGTTATTCCATATCTTATTTTAAAACATAAGCAGGGTATTATGGTAGTTGCCAAATCCACGGAGTCGGTCACGTGACCACCACGTGACCAAACACAAAAATTAGGGCAAAATCTTGTGCTCCATAAATCAGTGAAGCGGCCGAATGTGAAACTTCAAAAACTCCCTCTGCCTTCCATTTCTCTGCTTTCTTCAATGGTTACAGTTTCGTTGATGTAGCTTCTCGTCTAATCTATTGCATCCTTATTCCTCTTCAAGGATGCTCTCTGTTCTTGTGAGTTTCTTCTGATTTTGCATATTTTGATTTGGTTTTCCCGATTCTGTCTTGGACTGCCGTGAGTACCTGTTTTTTCGTTTCTTCTTCTTCTTTCGTCGATTTAATCTGTGACGCATTTCTTGTGATTTCTTGTAAAATTTCTGTCGTAATGTTGTTTGCGCGAATTAGTGGATGAGGATGAAGCAATTACTATAATCCAACACTTGATCTGAGATAATGTATTCATTATCAGTTGATGCTACTGTTAGCTTCTGAATCTACTTTGCCGTGAGTACCTCATTTTTCGTTTCTTCTTCTTTCGTAGATTTAATCTTTGACGCATTCCATGTGATTTCTTGTACAACTTCTGTCGTAATGTTGTTTGCGCGAATTAGTGGATGAGGATGAAGCAATTACTATTAATCCAACACTTGATCTGAGATAATGTAATCATTATCTGTTGATGCTACTGTTAGCTTCTGAATCTACTTTCGTCTATCAATCCATCTCTCCGTTTACTTCACTGTTCTTTTTCTTTTCCTAGTTTTCTAATGTTGAATGCACAAAATTTAATCTGTGTTGCGATTAACCGCCGCACCTGGATTACAGTATTCAAGCTTGTGTGTTTTCGTCACAATCATTTGTTTTGAATTAATCTAATCCAAATTGTAGTTACAATGCTTGCCTCATCAGAATGAGATCTGATGCTATTCTCTTACGTGGTTTGCTTTCATACTGTGTGGTCTGATTTGTTGTTGCATTTTTTTCTACAGTATTGTTTTCTTTGTGTTAAATATAGTTATTTTAACTGCTACTATCTTGAATGACTTTTAAGTGTTTTTTAAATGGAAAAAAAAAAAATTGACGATGCATTTTGGTGTTTGCTTCCAATCCTAAGTGGCTTGACAAATTAACCAAGAACTATTCCTAGTAAATCACTGATATGATCTAATCTTTAATTTTATTTAATCCAAGTTTTTAATTGAGTCAACAATATATCTCTGCATCGGGTATTGCATTGTGCAAATGGATTCAAATGATTCTCCCTCTTATTTCCAAAAAATCATTGAAAAGAAAAATAATGAGAGAGGAGCAGCTATCATTGATAAACAATGGATTTGTGTTTACAACCCCGTAGTTTTATTGATTACATCGGGTTAAACCCAAACTACTCTAGAGGCCATAATATCGATCTAAGTAAGATGAAATAATTCATACCCTAATGTTAAGTATGTATAATGTGCATTTATGTCAAACTCTTTTTTGCTTGAGCCATGTAATTTGAATCTCAGGCTTTCTTAAAGCTACAAACATCTCCCTATTCTCTCTTTTGACAAGGATATCAGCAGCCTTCATATACAACTCATCTCCTTCTACAATTCCAGGCAACCCCCTTAAAGTTTCCATTACCTCAAGTGTACTACATCCTGGTAAATCTCTTCTTCTGTATTCTATAGCATCACAAAGACGATCTAATGCCTCGAACAACCTCGAAGAAGACGATCCAACTTTTGAATCTTCTACTTTTTTTCTCCTTTTCTCATTTCCTTGACTATAAGTTGCACTCGTATTAACTTCATTTGTGTTAGTGTTACTTTCTACATTGTTAATAAACTCATTCTCATTCAACTTTGTGTCTCCTATCGTGTCATCACTTGAAGACTTACGTAAAACAACCTGAGCTGGTGTTGGTGCCCATGCTCCTCCTCCATTGCCTGCTGCAACATCTTCGAAGAGAATGTTCAAGAGCTCCACATTTTGCAGTCCTTTTGCACGAAACTTAGTTGCCTCAGGAAGAATCTGTTAAATGATATCACATCGTTGGATTAAGAGTTAAGAATTGTCATACAAATTCAAAGAGGATTATTACCTTTAATTTGCTATCCCACCATTGACTAGTGGCATCAATGGTTTGCCTCTGAGTGTCCCATCCTAATTGTTTATCAGTTCCAATCAAATCATTCCAGACCTGCCAGTCTTTTTTGAGCGTTGTCCATTTGTTCTTGAGCTGCTTGTATCCGTAGTTTCTTCCTGTCTTTGCATGGAAGTTCTTAACTACATTCCTCCATCCAATTTTGGTAAAATGGCCATGAGGTCTATTCCCATTTAAAGTCTCAGTAATACAGACATTTATGAATGAATCAACAGTAACATCATCCCAAATTGCCTTTGTTTGCCTCTCCTTTTCATCACTGGCAGCTAAACTCTTTGGCATTCTAATACGTAAATAGTAGAGATGTAAATAGGATCATATAGACAAGTTTATAATGTAAAGAGCAAGGAATGATTCTATTTTCTTTGTGACCCAGCAGCTCATCCTTTTAGTGACTCAAATTCATAAAGTTTTATTGAATAAGAGATAAACTTAAACATACCCTAAATAGGTCGTTAGGAGTATTAATCAACCCAATAACCTAATCAATTCGGACTACTCAACCCAAGTCATAAAAATTGGGTTGAATCGGATTTTTTTTTTAGTTCGGTTGGGTTGAAGCTCTTTGCAACCCAACTAATCCGGTAATAGGGTTATAACTGATAACGATGCTGGTTCTATTTGTTTGATGAACACGACTCTTCACAATGGTATGATACTGCCCACTTTGAGCATAAGCTCTCGTGGCTTTGCTTTGTCCTTCCCAAAAGACCCAATACCAATGGAGAAAGTATTCATTAATTATAAACCTATGATTATTCCTTAAACTAGCGGGGCTTTCATCATCCAACACTATTAATCATCCATTCAATCAACTCAAGATTTTTGACACGAACCCGAATTGTAATAAAACGGCAATATGAATAAAGCCTGGACACAGAATAGCAATCCCCTGTTTAAAAATATGAAGCACAGAATCCCATTTCTCTCTGCTCATCTGAACCCATTTGAATAAAGGTTTGTAATACTAAAAGTGATGCCAGAGGAACAGAACAATGAATGAGAAACAATGGTGAACAAACAGCGGGAAACAGTCCAATAATTCCTTCGCCGATCAGAAAAAAGAGAAAACAATTGTTTATTTCAACCAGAACAGAAAGAACGAAGAATCGAAATCAAAAAGGAGAAGAAAATGAAAAAGTTAGAAGCTTACCTTAAGAAGAGAGCGAAGAATGGAGTAATTAATGGGGAGCCGAGGAAGGCAGTCGCAGATTTATGGTAAACATTTGATGAAGAAGAAGGAGACAGAAATTAGGGCGGAAAGGGATGAGTGAATCAAAAGAGAGTTGACGGAAAGTGCTTCTTCTAATCTCCTCTTCTTACTTTTTCTTAAACCCTAAACCAAAAAAAGCCTAAAAAGGGTTCCAAAACCACTTTCTATCATGATTTTTGACTCACCAAAACAATACACACTCAACCCAACTCACTTCCTCCCCCCCTTTTGGTTTGGTCGGGTCTAGTCAAAGGTTGTTAAAACCGTGTGAACCTAGTCGATCTCGAGAGTTTTGAATTGTAGGCTTTCATCGCATCCTAACCTTTCATCATTCTCAAGAAAAATATAGCAAGGATGAGTATAAAAATTATACGCCACGCCACCTACTTTTAGGCTCTCTGTAGACTCTCATTGCATCCTAGGCTTAGTAGATTCCCACGGCTTCTAATTGGCTCTTGGACATCTGATTCTGGTCTTAGTTCCATGGAGTTTCACTAGTTCTCTGTCCTTTCATTTGATTCCTATGAGTTCCTTAAGGCGAGTTGTAATGACCGGTTATCTAGCTTAGGGGTGTGCTGAGTACCTCGTAAGCTAATAATAGTCCTCTGTGGGGGCGTGGCTGCTCGCGAGTACCACGCGTTGGCAGAGGTTTTGCAGTCGCGGTTTAGGCACTCCGGTTCAGGTCAGCGAGTCAATTTGCTCGTGTGGACCATGGGTTTGGGTTTGAAGGCGACACGTGACGCCATTTTCGCTGGAGCTGCGTTGCTCTAGTCGACGCTTGACGTGTGTCCTCCACCTGCCAAGCTGCGTTTCACCACCTACTGGTGGCTGCTGGAATTTCTTCTCTCTCCTGCAATTTGTAACACAAAACGATTTCTGATCAATTTCTTGATTTTTTCCATTTTCATATCTTTCGATTATGATCTCAAATTCCATTGATCCCTTCATCAAAGCTTTAGATCGTGTTACAGGCTACGATATGATATATATATATATTGATTTCAGACTCAACATAGAATGAGATCTGAGCTTCGGAAGAGGTTCGTTTTTTGTTTTACCGTTCTTGGGTGACATCTCAGGATTCTAACTCGAATTACGTTTTTCAGCCGAGTTTCTTCACAAATCTTAAAGAACAACTCCCTATAAGATTGTTCAGGAGGATCCTTCTATCTCCTCTCACTTTTCTCTCCCTAACTTTCTTTTCTCTTGTGGTATTCTAATTGGGGTCCTTGGACCCATACAACGAATGGAGGAGCAAAATGACACATTTACCCTAACCGAGGTCCTTGGACACCCAATAATGACTGGAGGGGCAAATGTGTCATTTGCCCTAATTGGGGTCCTTGTACACCCCAATAATGACTAGAGAGGAAAAATGACACATTTACCCTGATTGGAGGTCCTTGGACACCCCAATAATGACTGGAGAGGCAAAATGACACATTTGCCCTGATTGGAGGTCCTTGGACACACCAATAATGACCGGAGGGGAAAAATGACATATTTGCCCTGATGGGAGGTCCTTGGTACCCCAATAATGACCAGATGGGCAAAAGGACACATTTGCCCTAATTGGAAGTCCTTGGACACCCCAATAATGACCCGAGGGGCAAAATGACACATTTACCCCTCCTTGACTTGGTCAAATATTTGCCCCTCAGTCGACTTGATTTGACCAATTTTTTTTCCGAGCATTACATTAAAAACAAATTCATAGCAAATTGAATTATCACAATTAGAAGTACGAATCTAAATCACGCGACTATAGTTTCTTTTTCTTCCGATAATCGTACCACCCCTAAATCAACAAAAACAAAAAACGTATTGAAATCTAAATCAGCGAGACAGAAATCAAGAACACGCACGTCATGAAGAAAAACAAATGAATTGAAAATGAAATCGAAGTTATGGGATTTTGAAATAAGATAGCCGAAAAACAGGAATCGAAATCAGGCCTCAGACAGAGAGAGCTCGATCAAATTATAGAAGATAATCAGACAATGTCGGCAAATCAAGATATCAGTCATCAACGGCCACGATTCACTCGGAAAAACAAATCTTACAAAGAAAAAGAAATACAAAAGAATTGAACCAGAGATTGTAATGGAAGTCGATACCCTGCAATTCACCATTTATTTACGCCTTCTCCCCCCTTTTTCTATGAAAAGACTAAAATACCCCGCTTCTCCCTACTCCTAGGATTTTAATTTTTTTTTTAATTTTTAATTATATATATATATAGACTTAGAAAGAAATTATATATTTGGTTAACTTAATAATTAATTTTAAGCAAAAAGCAGATATTGTTCGATTTGGTTCGTTACTTATCGCTATCAGCTCACGATTTTAAATGCGTATGCTAGAAAGAGTATTCGACAAATGGGCAAAATGACACATTTGCCCTGATTTGGGTCCTTGGACACCCCTATAATTATTGGAAGGGCAAAATGACACATTTGCCCCTTGTTGACTTGGTCGAATTCAATTCACCCGAAATTGAATTATCATAGCAAGGGGTATGAATTCAAATCATGCGGCTATGATATATTTTCCTTTCCATAATTGTACCGATAAATCAACAAAAAAAAAAAAAAATTGTATTGATATTGTCCAATTTGCAGTATTCTGATTGGAGGTCCTTGACCCTATAATGACTGGAGCGACAAATGGGTAAAATGACACATTTGTCCTTATTGGAGTCTTTGAACATTCCTATAATGACGGAAGGGACAAAATGACACATTTACCCTCATTGTGGTCCTTACACACCCCTATAATTGCGAGAGGGAAATTTCATCCCTTTTATATTTAAACTTAGAAAGACATTATATATTTTTGGTTAACTAAATCATTAATTATAAGCAAAAAAAAAAAAAAAAAAAAA